GCCGCCTCTCCAACGCAACACCCATGTGTTCAACAGCCGCCACCTCCTGCGCAATACCCACTGCCTCCAACACGCAACAATGTAGAACTGACCACCGTAGACGTGGGTGTGTCTCGAATATTTCAGCGGAATGGCCAATCGTGTTTCTATTTGGTGTTGCAGGCCGGCGTTGTGCTGAGCTTCGAGGTTATGTTTGTTTGTTAGGTTCGGCGTTGCCAATCTGGTAACTTCTATACAGGACCGCTTTGAGCTCAGGAGGAGTGTAGTTTTCGGTCTGTTTCTGGAGATAGGTCGGGGAACCTATTTGTGGCCGGGGGTCACCGGTCCGAGGAATTCGCGCGGGCCTCTGAAGGCTTATGTGCATGCCATGCCGATGCCCGATGCCTCTTCTTGTAGATTGCCAACGAGGTGCTGGTCGAACAGATCAGGCATACGCCGCGCCTCACCCGCGCGCGCCTTCTAGACAAGAGTGCAGGGTGTCCGCCCGATCGAGCCCATTTCAAGGCGGCCGCGTGCTGGCCTTTCTTGGGCGAGCAAACGTCGTTGCGCTCATCTTCCCCTTCCCCTTCTTCTTCGCCGTGCCGCTTGGCAGGCTACCATGGCTCCCAGGCGGAGGAAGCGCGTGGGGTCGAGAAGGTTGGGAGGGCCCTTAGGCTGGAAGGGTCAGAAAAATGTACAAGTCCTTCCCGCTGGGTAGGAGGGCCCAGCGGGCTGGGGAGGTGGGAACCGGTGGGGGCCCGCGGCGTCTTGACATCATTTTTGGGGGTGTGGTTGGCTTGGGGGGATGGGGTCCGGCCGACGTGCGGGGTCCTCCGGAGAAAACCAGTCAACCAGTCTGGGTTGCGCGGGAAACGAACATAACACCTCCTCTCGCTCTCCCGGATGAGTGCGAGACATTTGGATAGTTCCAAATGCCATGGCGAATTTCATGGGGAGATTCCGCCTTCGCGGTGCAGCTGTACGCCGCTTTCTTGCCGCTGCTCCATATCGTCTGGGCGCTCGTGCTTATCGTCCTCGGCTCATCGACGCCCGCGGCGGGCTTAAATTCTTGCGGGCGAGAGTATTCGGGGGGGGGGGGATCATGGCTCTGATCCGCATCGGCAGGGATACGGTAAGGACTGTCTGCGCCCCAACTGCCTGGTACGCGTCACCGCTTTCTGTTTTCTGTTCTCAAGCGAACCGCAGGGCAAGCCTCCCCGACCCTCACGATGCAGCCAACCTTGAGGAAAAATAGCGCTTCACCCGCATGCCTTCCCTCGCTCTACCGTCACCGGCACTGGTCACTGGCAGGGCGGGAGGGTTGCTTGAATGGGGAAGGGAATTGTGGTTCTTGGTGAGCGCAAAGTGCACAGCACCGCGTCCGTCCTTCTCTTCTGTATCTGGGGTAAGTGGTCCATCGTGCACAAGCTTTCGGGGCTTGCGACGGTAATGCCTCTTCCTGCCTCTCCCGTCTCCTCGTCCTCGCTCTCGCTCTTCTCTTCCCCCTCCCAGGGCTTGCTTCCTTCGCGCTCCGGTCTTGCCCAGGCTGTCCCCGGGGCGAGGAACGGGCCCATCGAAGGCCAGAGGTGGTCGGAAGCTTGCGGCGCGGCTTCCTCGAGCCGCTGTGGGCTCTGGGGGCGCCTCCGCCGCCCTGCCCCGCCCAGGCCGTGCGGCCAGGATGAGCCTCGCCATGAGCAGGCTCCCGCCATCGGCTCTCGGGCCAGGCGCGACGCTCCCGGCCCAGCTGTGCGCCGCTGGCGGCTAGGGAAGGGTGGAGGAGGAGAGGATGATCTTGGATGGGATGACGGCGAGGCGGGGAGGTGCAGAAGAGAGGAGGGAGGGGGGAGGAGGAGGAGGAGGGGACTTTGAGAAGGACGGTGTGGAAACCGAGGGGATGGCGGTGCAACTGGAGCGTGAGGATGATGCGGACGAAGGTGTAAGATGGGGGGGAGGAGCATCGAGGCGAAGGAAGGGAAGAAGGAGGGCGAGAAGGATAATGAGGAGAAAGGAGATGATGGTGGTGATGATGTTGCTGATGCTGCTGATGATGCTGCTGCTGCTGCTGCTGATGATGGTGACGATGATGATGATGATGATGATGATGATGATGATGATGATGATGATGATGATGATGATGATGATGATGATGGTGACGACTATGCTGATGCTGCTGAGGATGCTGATGATGCTGCTGCTGATGATAATGATGATTATGATGATTATGATGATGTTGTTGATGATGCTGATGATGATGTTGATGATGATTCATAGGCTGATATTGATGCTGATGCAAATAATGCTGCTGCTGCTCATGATGATGATGCTGATGTTGCTGATGCTGCTGATGATGCTGCTGATGATGCTGCTGCTGCTGATGATGATGATGCTGATGCCGATGCCAGACAAGAAGATGAGGAGGACGAAGAGGAGGAGGAGGAGGAGAAGGAGGAGGAAGAGGAGGAGGATGAGGAGGAGAAGGATGATGATGCTGCTGCTGATGATGATGATGATGATGATGATGATGATGATGATGATGATGATGATGATGATGATGATGATGATGATGATGATGATGATGATGATGATGATGATGATGATGATGATGATGATGCTAATGCTGATGCTGATGATGACGGTGACGACGACGATGATGACGATGATTATGATGATGATGATGAGGATGATGATGAGGATGATGAGGATGCTGATGATGCTGATGATGCTGCTGATGCGATGATGATGTGATGATGATGATGATGATGATGATGATGATGATGATGATTGATGATGATGATGATGATGATGATGGTGGTGGTGGTGGTGGTGGTGTGATGTGATGATGATGATGATGATGCTGATGATGTGATGATGATGTGATGATGATGATGATGATGATGATGAGAGAGGAGGAGGAGGAGGAGGAGGAGGAGGGAGGATGAGGATGAGGATGAGGATGAGGATGATGAGTAGGAGGAGGAGGAACAGGAGGAGGAGGAGGAGGAGGAGGAGGAGGAGGAAGAGGAGGAGGGGGAGGAGGAGCAGGAGGAGGAGAAATAATAAGTGGAGGAGGAGGAGGAGGTGGAGGAGGAGAAGGAAGGAGGAGGAGGAGGAGGAGGAGGAGGAGGAGGAGGAGGAGGAGGAGGGAGGAAAAGGAGGAGGAGAGCAGGAGGAGGAGGAGGAGGAGGAGGAGGAGGAGGAGGAGGAGGAGGAGGCGGAGGAGGAGGAGGAGGAGGAGGAGGAGGAGGAGGAGTGGCCTATTATAAGACAACCGTATGAGGAGCTTCCATCGTGTCAAAACACAACCCCTTGGTTGTCAACGCCGTGGATCAACATGACCGTTGCGTCCTGACATACTGAGTCGTGTCTTCACGCCGTTCCGGGAGTTTTGAATTAACACAGCGAATACTTGTCTATGTTACGTCCTGGCAATCTCGTCGTGGCGCTGGGGCGTAGTGGCGCGGTTGGTCACAGTCGTGGTGGTGCTGCTGGTGGCAGTCGTGGTGGTGGTGTTGCTGGTTGTTGTCGTCGTGATGGTGCTGCTGGTGGCGCTGCGGGTCGCGGTCGCCAGGTTGCCGGTGGTCGCCGTCGTGGTGCTGCTGGTCGCAGTCTAAGGGGTGGAGCTGTTGGTCGTGCTCGTGGCTGTGGTTCTGCTTGTCGTAGTCGTGGCGCTCCTGTTTGCTGTCGTGGTGGTGGTGCTGCTGGTCGCAGTCTTGGCGCAGCTGCTGGTCGGTGTCTTGGTGGTGCTGCTCGTCGCAGTCGCGTTGGTGGTGCCGCTGCTGGTAGTGGTGCGGCTCGCAGTCTTGGTGGCGCTGCTGGCCGCAGTCGCGGTGTTGTTTGTTGCCGTCTACCCGTCCTCCTCCTCCTCCTCCTCGCCCTCCTCGCCGTCCTGCGCTTCCCGCTCTCCTCCTTCTTCTCCTCCTCCTCTGCCGCAGCTGCCTCTAGCCTCACTCTCCTCCGCCTCTTCGCTGCCCTCTTCCTGCTGGCACTCTGCTGGGCGCCTGGTGCCGGCTGCATCGTTGCCTCCTCCCCTTGGTCGCCGTTATGGTGCTGCTGTTGGGGGTGCTGCTAGTCCCCATGGCGGTGGCGCTGCTGGCTGCTGTCGTGGTGCTGCTGGTCGCGGTCGTGGCGTCGCTGCTGGTCGCAGTCGTGGTGGCGTTGCTGGCGGTGGCGCTGCTGGATGCCGTCGCGGTGGTGCCGGTGCTTGCTGTTGTCGTGGTGTTGCTGGTCGCAGTCGTGGTGGCGTTGCTGGTAGCCGTCGTGGTGGTGCTGCTGGTGGGGGGGCTGCCAGTCCCCGTAGAGGTGGTGGTGGAGGTGCTGCTGCTGCTGCGGCTGCTGGGCGCAGTCGTGGTGCTGCCCGTCGCTACCGCGGTGGTGCTGCTGGTTGCCGTCGTGGCCGTCGTCGCGGTGTTGCTGGTCGCAGTCGTGGTGGTGTTGCTGGTCGCAGTCGTGGTTGCGTTGCTGGTAGTGGCGTTGCTGGTCGCCGTGGTGGTCGCGCCGCTGGTGGCCGTTGTCGTCGTTCTGCTGGTCGCCGTCGTGGTGGTGTTGCGCGTGGCCGTCGTGGTTGTATTGCTGGTGGGGGTGCTGCTGGTCCCCATGGCGGTGGTGGTAGTGGTGGTGGTGGTGGTAGTGGTGGTGGTGGCTGCTGCTGGCTGCTGCCGCTGCTGCTGCCGTTGCTGCTGTTGGTCGTAGTCGTGGTGCTGCTGGTCGTTGTCGCGGTGGCGTTGCTGGTTGCAGTCTTGGCCGTCGTCGCGGTGTTGCTGGTCGCGGTCGCGGGGGTGCTGCTGGCCTCTGTCGTGGTGGCGCTGCTGGTAGTGGCGTTGCTGATCGCCGTCGTGGTGGGGCCACTGCTGGCTGTTGTCGTGGTGCTGCTGGTCGCCGTCGTGGTGGCGTTGCTGGTCGTCGTCGCGGTGCTGCTGGTCGCGGTCGTGGTGGTGCTGCTGGTCGTAGTCGTGGTGGCGTTGTTGGCGATGGCTCTGCTGGATGCCGTCGTAGTAGTGCCGCTGCTGGCCGTTGTCGTGGTGCCGCTGGCCGCAGTCGTTGTGGACTTGCTGGTGTCCGTCGTGGTGCTGCTGCTGGTAGTGGCGCTGCAGCTGCTGCTGCTGCTGCTGCTGTTGCTGCTGCTGCTGCTGCTGCTGCTGGGCGTAGTCGTGGCGCTGCTGGTCGCCGTCGCGGTGGTGCAGCTGCCTGCGGTCGTGGTGGCGCTGTTGGGAGTGGCGCTGCGGGTCGCCGTCGTGGCGGAGTTGCTGCTGGCCGTCGTCGTGACTCTGATGGTCGCAGTCGTGGTGGCGTTGCTGCTGGTGTTGCTGCTCGTAATTGTGCTGCTGGTCGTAGCCGTTGTAGTCGTGGTCGTTGTGGTGCCGTTCGTTACGTTTGGGCTGCTGTGCGCGGCGCCGCTGTTGGGAGTCGTAGCGCCTCTTGTGTTGGGCGTAGTCGTGGCGCTGCTGGTCGCCGTCGCGGTGGTGCTGCTGCCTGAGGTCGTGGTGACGTTGTCAGGAGTGGCTCTGCTGGTCGCCGTCGTGGCGGTGTTGCTGCTTGCCGTCGTCGTGGCTCTGCTGGTCCGGTCGTGGTGGCGTTGCTGCTGCTGCTCGTAATTGCGCTGCTGCTGGTCGTAGCCGTTCTGGTCGTGGTAGTTGTGGTGCCGTACGTTGCGCTTGGGCTGCTGCGCGCGGCACCGCTGTCGGAAGTCGTAGCGCCCTTTGTGGCTGTTGACTTGTCATTTCTGAAGAATGATTTTTGTTGATCCCCCCTCACCGGTGCATACTGTTTTTTCTCAATCAAAGTGTGCCCCTCGACGCTCGCACCCTTTTTTTGGGCAGGGCAAGTCTTGATGCTCAAACTGTGCCCCTGGCCCCCGGGTTACAACAACAAGAACGGTTCCCGCTTGAGAATTCCTGACCATTTAGCCAGGACCCCCGCTCCCGCCCGAGACTCCCTCGCATTTTATTCAGGAATCGCGCTCTCGCTTGGGACTTCCTTGCAATTTATCAAGGAATCGCTCTACTGGCGCTCTGGATTCGCGCTCTCGCTGGAGACTTGCTTGCAATGTACTGAAGAATAGCGCCCTTGCGCTGGAACTTCTTGCAATTTGCTTAAGCGCCGCGCTCCCGACACCCAGGCACCCAGGAGTCGCGCCCGTTGTGGCCCCATGTGCATGCCCTTCGTGGCCCCACTGTCGCCGTTTGTGGCCCCTTCTCTGTCCTACGTGGCCCAGTTGCTATCCTCAGTGGCCCCATCCTGGCCTTCTTTGGCCCCGCATTATCTGCCCTTCGTGGCCCCCGCTCGCTCGCGCTCTTCGTGGCCCCATACGCATTCCCTTCGTGTCCCCGCTGTCGCCCTTCGTGGCCTACTGTGCTTCGTGTCCTTCGTGGCCCTGCTGTCGTTCTCTCTCGCTCTCGCTTTCGTTCGTCGTCGCCGTCGTCGTCGTCGTCGTCGCCGTCGTCGTCGACGTCGTCGTCGTCGTCGTCGTCGTCGTCGTCGTCGTCGTCGTCGTCGTCGTCGTGGTCGGTTCCCTGTCCGCCCCTCTTGGGGTCGGGTCGACGGTCCGCGACCGCCCCGCCGCTTGCCGGGGCCGGCCTGCAGGGAAGAAAGGTCTACCACCCAAAAGGGGTTCGATCGAAGACGAAGAGGGCGGGTATCGAAGTTTTGGGAAATACGCGTTATTGGGCACTCGAGCAGATAAGGGCGAACAGTCTTAAAATGATTGTTGTTGTTGTTGTTGTTGTTATTGTTGTTGCTGCTGCTGTTATTGTTGAAAATTATTGTTGGTCCCCCCCGTACGTTGTCTTATGGAAAGTCTTGAGGGTCAACTTGCGTTGTTGCCCCCCGGTTTTACAACAACAACGGCTCCCGCCTGATACTTCCTCACAAGTTATTGAAGAATCACGCTCTCGCTTCGGATTTCCTTGCAATTTACCACCGGACCGCGGCTCCCGCTTGATACGTCTTCACAATTCATTGAAGAATCGCGCTCTCGCTCGGGACTTCATCGCAACTTACCACCGAATCGCGGCTCCCGCCTGATACTTCCTCACCATTTATTCAGATGCCGCTCCTCGACATTCAGGAATCGCGCTCCCGCTACATATTGCCTGGCGGTTCAAGCAGAATTTACGCTTCAACGACCCGCCCGCTCGACCCGCCCGTTTGGGCCTGCCCGCCCGACCAGCCCGTTAGGGACTGCAGTCGCCGCTCGCTGCCTTCGCCCTCACAGCGCAAATCATCGTCCTCCATCCTTCTTGCCCCTCCCTCCCTTCCTCCGATCCGTTCGTCCTCCTTCTCCCTCGTTATCTGTTACCCTTCGTTTTCAAGGGCTTCACCAACCACGCGTGGCAGGGAATGAATATACCCCCCCAAAGGGGGTACGATCGACGACGAAGAGGGCGGGTATCCAGGGCTTGGGATATGCATATTGAACGACACGCGAGCACATAAGAGCGAACAGTCTTAAAGTGGTGGTTGTTGTTGTTGTTGTTGTTGTTGTTGTTGTTGTTGTTGTTGTTGTTGTTGTTGCTGTTGCTGTTGTTGTTGTTGTTGTTGTTGTTGTTGTTGTTGTTGTTGTTGTTGTTGTTGTTGTTGTTGTTGTTGTTGTTGTTGTTGTTGTCGTTGTTGTTGCTGCTTGGCTCTTGTGGGCTTGCTGCGCAAACCCGGGCGCCGCCGGGGACTGCAGCGGATCCGTGCAGACCCCAGCGAGAAACTGGACGCAGGGAAATCCTACCGTGGGAATGGGGCTCTTCCCCTGAGGGGCTCGGGCTGCAGGTGGCGCCAGGCCCCTCCCTCGGAAAGGGGCTGGGGGGCTGGCGACCAGACGGCTGGAATGACCGTTTTGGGAGGCGGTGGGTCCTGCTGTCTGCTGTCGTCGTTTCTGCTGTCGCGTTGCCTGCAGCTGCTGCTGCTGCTGCTTCTGCGCGTTGCTGGCTTGGGCTCCTGCTGCGCCAGCGGGCGGGTTCCCCGGGTGGGGCCGCGCCCGTTCCACCCCCTCAGGGGCACGGCGGCAAACGGCTAGGCTCTGGTGTCTCCGTGTAGCGGGCGTCCGTCAGGATGTCGGGTAAGTGCGGTTCGTCGCCGCCGACGGCCATCGCGTGTGGCGGCAGTTCCAGGAGCGTGGCCGCGAAAGCCCTCTGGGCTGCGACCACGGCCAGGCCGGTCCAGCGGTGCAGGTACGCCGCCCGCGCAGACGCTTGGAGGCGCTGCGGCGAGCTGCGGGCCTTGGTCCTGGCAAGCAGCCGGACGAAGGTCAGGGCTTCCTCTGACCACCTGCCACCGACTTCCAGGCCCAGCACGACTAGCTGTCATCTCCTCGACCCGAGGAGCTCGGGGTACGTCGCCTTTTTCCGGCCCCGCGCGACCGCCAGCTGGACACCGTCTTAGTCCGCGGCGCTGGGCTGCGCGGTGCCGTCCGCTCGGACGGGCAACACCAAGGTCGCGTCGATCGCCAGCTGAGCTCCGCCCCGCGGCTGCAGGCCATTAGCGATGACCTCGGGCGTGCGCCCGTCGCGGGGGTCGATGCCGTCCACGTTCAGACCTCGCAGGAGATGGTTCTCTGCGACTCTGCCCCTGGCCTCCTGGCAGATGCGCGCGGCTGCCTTCTCCTAGGAGATGGACCTCGTCTTGAGAACCCCTAGCCCTTGGGCATGCTGCTCTGTGGTCGCCTCTTGCACCGAGTCCGCCTCTGCATCTGCGCACTCTCGCTGCGAAGGGTGTATCCAGTCGCAAGCGCCTGGGACGCAGGACTCTGAATTCTGCTGGCGGGATCTCGAAACCTCCCGTCGTGGGCGACGCGCTGAAGGCCCTTCCTGCGCTCGGCCAACTCTGGGACCTGAGGAGGGCTGGGGCTGCTGGATCGAGAGCGTCAAGAAGCTGTGCTTGGGCTGCGTCCTCGCGGACTCTGGCAGACCAGAGCGGCCAGCCGTGCGCCCACTCGCCGTGCTCCCGCTCGCGCGTCGGCGGCGGCCGGGCGCCGCGCGCCAGGTCGTGCCAGTCTGGTGCGGCGAAGCCGTGCGCTGCGACGTGCTGCCTCGCCCTGCTGGCTTGCAGGAGGCACCGGTGAGCTTCCGTCCGCGGGACTCGGCCCAGCTCGCTCAGCGCCCTGCAGATCGGGCCCGTCAGCTGGAGGCAGCGCTCGTGGAGCATCGGTGAGCAATCTGCCTAGGAAGCCCACGAGGCCGCCGGCGCCGTCCTGGCTGCGCTTCTCTTGCCGAGCCCTCCCATGCAGAGCGGTGGTTGGCAACGCGGGCGGGCTGGCGAGAATTTTGCTAAAGCCCCCCGTGGAAGTTCGAGCAGGTCGGCGAGCGCTTTGGTCAGGTTGTCGTCGTGGGCCGCAGCGAACGCGGCCGTGTCCTCGGGATCCAGAGCCCTCAGGAAGAAGTTAGCCCGGGGCTTGGCGCACATGCTCGGCAGGAACCACGAGGATTGCAGATCTCTGAGGTGCGGTATCTTTTGCAGCAAGCGGCGGTGTTCTGCCAGGAGGCCTTCGTGGTGCTGCGCGACAAACGCCCTGTGGCCGACGGGGGCCCCTAGTGCGACCAGGCCCTGGGCTTCTGGCGGGGTGTCTGCTCTTTCCAACCCGCGCCCGCTCCTGTGCAGTTCCCAGCTCTCGGACACCGGGCGGTTCCTGTCCTCCCCTGCTCCAGACTCGCGTCTTCCCCATGTTCACGCTGATGCAGCAGTGCGTCTGGAGGGCCTCCCGCGCGGCGTCGAACGGGAACCTCGCCCTGTCTGGGGTTGTGACCGCGTGCGCGTCGTTGAAAAAGGGGAAGATGCGTTCTCCAGGCCTGAGCATTGCGTGGACCTGCTGCAGGGCTGGGTGTTGTCTCAAGGCGAACAAGGTTGGCATGGGCGGGTCTCCTTTTTCTCCTCCCTCCGCCTGGTCGATCGCCTGCCCTTGCCCCGTGTCGTCGTGCCACCAGTGCTGCGACCGTTCGTCGGCTCCAACGTCTACGCCGACACAGAAGCCAACGCCGACGTCAGCACCGACGCTGGTGTATGCGCCCGCTCCGACACCAGCACCAACGCCAGCATCAGCGCCGGGACCTGCGCGTGCACCACCGCCAGGGCCTGCACCCGCGCCGACTTCAGCAATGACTCCAGCACTAACGCCGGCGCCTACGACGAACCAGCGCCGGCGCTTGCGCTAGCGCCGACGCCAGCGCTTACGTCAGCGCCCACGCCGCGCAAGCGCTGGCACGAGCAGCGCCGACGTCGTCGCCGACGCCAGCACCGACGCCCGCGCCTACGCCGGCACCGACACCCGTACGCGTCAGCTTGGCACGCTGGCTTGCGAAACCCGAAACCAGCGCCAGCCCCCAGATCGACGCCAGCTCCAACGCCAGCGCCAACGCCAGTTCCGACGCCAACACGAGGCCGACTGTTGGCAACACAGAGGCTGGCGCCCACGACAGTACTAGCGCCAGCATTTCCGCCAGCACCGGCGCCTACGTCGCGAGCCACAATGTCAGCGAGTTCGTGTCGAACAGCGCCTGTTCTAGCAGCGTAGGTTCGATTGCAACGGGTCGAGCAGCGCGGCGCAGGCCAGTGGTAGCACGGCGACGTCCACGGCCAGTTTCAATATGATCTATGTGACAACAGCGTGCGGCGTTGCGAGCGCGGTCTGGACGATCAGGTCGACATATGGTCATTAGGATGCGATAGCAACGTTGGTGAGCAGCACTACTCGTGCCAGGAGGGACATGGCGACGTCCGCGGCCGGTTCCACGGTGCGCTTCACCGGGATTGCGAGCAGCGGGTTGAGCGCGGTCCGGTCGAGCAGCTTGAGTGCCACCCAGGACTCCGATTGTAACGTGGTCGATCCGCACTACGCGGACCAACGGCAGCATGGCGACGTCCACGGCCATTTCCACCGTAAGCTCCACGACAGCAACGAGCAGCATTCTGAGCGCGGGCTCTGAGTGCGGCTCCTCCTGTGTAGAGGCTTTGCGAACGCGTTTCATCCGTCCTCCGCTTCTCCTCTTTTTCTTTGCCGCCTGATTCGACTTTAAGGCTTGTCCGTGATTCTCTAGTTTGTGTGCGTGTGTTTCTTGTTTTGGGCGTGATGGTTTTTAGGGTCGGGGGCGGCGCTTTTGCTTGGCCTTGGAGTGCATGAGGACATTGGCTCCCCCGTTTGGGGCCGCCTCTGTTCCTTTTCTGGGCGGGGCCGTCGCCGGTCGCAACGGGGCCGCTGTCCTTGGACATAATCCTCGTGCTTGCCTTGATGTGCGTGTCGTCTGGTTGCCCCCCTCTCTCTCTCTCTCTCTCTCCTCTCACTCGTCTTCTCCTCCTCGCCTCGTGACAGTGCGGGTTCCACTAGTGATATTGGCTGGGGCCGCTTCAGGATGCCGTTGCGCTCGCCTGCGGGGCAGGTGAACCGCGCTTCTTAATGCAGTTCCTGGGCTTCATTGGGCATGCAGTTCCCTGGTCCCCCGCCCCCCTGCTGCTGCGCGCCGCTTGCCGTGCTCTCCTCCCTTCCTGCTCTGCTGCCTCTCTCGCTCGCTTTCCTACCTCTCTTCCTGCTGCTCTTGGCTCTTCCCCTTTCCTCCCTGCCGCCTGCTTCCCCCTCCCTGCTGGTGCTGCTGCTGTCCATGTGGCCCGCTGTCTTTGTAGAGCCCTCCTGGGGTTCGAGCTCCATGGCGTGGAGGCGCAGTCCTTGCCGATTCGGCCTTCCAGTTACCTGCGACTCGTGGGGGTTTGTGTTCGCTGCCAAAAGAAAGAAGAATAATAGGCGGCAGAAAGGGGGCGGCGCGCTGCCCCTGGCCAGGTTTGCCAGACCGTCCCGGTCCCATCGATGGGTACCACCGTAGCTGAAGAGTCGTCCTGGGTGAGGCTTTGTATTCGGTGCGCCGCGTATTCCGTTCTTGTCCGGGTCGACAAGGCGAACTGGAATGAGGCCGTCGCCTGCTCCACCCCTTCGCCGACCTGTTGCGCGTGCGGGCCACCACCAGCCACCTGAAAACGTCGCCCGTCACGATGCCACGAACCCTCCCGTTGCTTTTGCGCAGCGCCGTGAGCCGGCCTTGCCAGAGGGCCGCTGCCACGGGGCCTGGGACGTCCGCCCTCGCGAGGAGTGTGGCGGCGTAGTGCTGGAGGTCGCAGCAGTGTCCGTCTTCCAGCAGCGTCTGCAAGTGCTCTCCTGTCATCCCCGAGGGGCCGGCGCGGCGCCGCGGCGACTCCCGCGCACGTTCGTGAGGAGGCGGTCCGCTTCCTCAGGCTGGCGAGGCCTTCCGTCGGCGCGCGGGCGCTCTGGGTCTCTGAGTTCGTCCAGCGTGGCTTGCGTGCTTGGGGCTACTGCGCTCGCTGTCAGCGTTTGGCGTGCAGCTGAGACCTCGCCGAGGCGGATCAGCTTGCGGGCCCTCTCGCAGCGGCGGCGGAGCTCTTCGTTCTCGTCCGGCGCTCTGCCCCTCTCTTGCCCCAGTCTGCGCTGCAGGCCCGGTCGCGCTTCCGCGAGCAGCTGCGCCCAGCCGCCATCGTCGAAGCGGGCGAATTTCTCCAGGAGCTGCTCCTTGGGAATTTTCTGCTGCCCCGCCTCTCTCCTCAGGAGTATCCGTGGGCGCAGGAGGAAAAGCTTCCACCCTCTCGTTGCCCCTGCCTCGTCTGCCTCCCCATCGCGGATCAGCTCTAGGGCTTTGCGCAGCGCGTTGCGGAGCGGCCCTCACGCGCGCGCGCTGGCGCCCGCTGGCGGGTCGGCGCGCGGGTATGGAGCAGCGATGCCGCGTCTGCCGCGTCCAGCGCCTCCCGCTGTGCTGCTGTCGAGCGAGCTCTTCCGCCGCGGGCGGGCCGGCGCTCCGTGGGCCTCTGGGTCGGAGCCGCGGGCGCGGCGCGGGTTGCCTTCGCCTCTCGCTTCCGTCTTCGCGGAGCTGGGCCGGCGCGGGCGGCGCGGGGCCGGCGCTTTCGGAGGCGCTGCCCGCCGTGTTCTCCTCGCTCCGGCTGGTGCTGCTGTTCCCTACCGCGTCGTCGCCGCCGCTGCTTGGGTTTCCTCCCCCTCCTCCGCCTTCTCTGCCTCCTCTGGCGCTTCTTCTTCTGCCGCCTCCTCCTCTTCTGCCTCCTCCGTCGCCTCGTCCTCTGCGTCCTCTGGCGGCGTTTCTCCGTCTGCCGCCTGCGGCGCCCTATCCTCCTCCGCCGCCTCCGTTCGGCTCTGGGTCCAGCGGCGCGGCCGCCGCCCACTTCGCCGGGTCGCGGAGCTCGTCGGTGCGCCAATCGACTCCTCGCGCCAGAACGGCGCGGCCGAACATCTCCAGTAGGAGGTCTTGTACCTGATTCTCGATGTAGCTGGCGCTGTGCGTCAGGGCTTCAACAGCGGGCGCCAGGTGCGCGTGTCCAGGGCATGTTCCGCCGCCTGCCACGATCGCGGCATGCGCGGCACCGGGGCGGGCGCCCGCGAACTCGAGCCCCTGGGCGAGCTGCTCTGCGGCGACAGGCTCTGAATGCCGCAGTGCCTCCGCCGTCGGCTGCCGCCGGTCTTGCGCGAGGCGGTGCGCGCTCCACTGCTCCGCCTTTGCCGGATCGAGCAGTCCAGCCGCCGCCGCCAGCGGCAGGGGCACGTGGGCGTCCGAGCTGGTGGGAGTTTGCAGCGGGGCTTCCAGCGGTGCCCACCCGATGAAGTGGTCGCGTTCGCGGTGGTGGCGGTGGTCGTGCTGGGCATCGTTGTCGCGGTGCTGCTGCTGGCGGTGTTGCATGTCGTCGTAGTGGCGCGGCGCCGCTGGTCGTAGTTGTTTTGCTGCTGGTCGCCGCTGTCGTGGTGGTGCTGCTGGTGGTGTTGCGCGTCGTCGTAGTGCTGATGGCGCCGCTGGTCGAAGTCGTTTGGCTGCTTGTCGCCGTCGTCGTGGTGCTGGTCGTGGTCGTGGTGGCGGTGGTGGTGCAGGGTGTCGTCGTGGTGGTTGGTGCTGCTGGTGGTGCTGGTGGTTGTCGTTGTGGTGGTGCTGCGGGCCCCCGCCGCCTGCTCCTGGCTCCGGCGGCCTCTCGGGTTCTGCGGCCTGTGGCGCCGGTAGCGCTGTCGCGGCGCAGCCCTGGCAGAGCCAATCGCCATGCTGCCTTCGCGGCCCTCCCGCGGCCCCACTTTCCCTGGCGACCCACTCGACCTGTTTGGTCGGCCGCAGGGGCACTACCGCGGCTTTTCGCCCTGTGGCGGCGGGACGTCGCTACCCAGCGGGGCAACGTCGTCGCAGTCGAGTCGGCGGCGGGCAGGAGGGGTACCTGAAACTTGGCGACCTGAGTCTTTAGGACGTGTCGAGCGGGAGCCCCCCGCTTCCTGAGGGCCTCCACTTTATGTTTCTGCTCTGCGGCGGCCATAGAAAGACATGAAGCACAGGATTTTTGACCCCTGGCCGCCTGAATCTCGAGGCATCGCGCTCCCGCATGTGAGTTTTCCTTATAATGCATTGAGGCATCGCGTTCTCACCGCTCAGCTGAGGAATCACGCTCTTGTCTGTGGGATCTTCCCAGTTAATCACAGAATCGCCCCCTCGCCGCCCACGAGTTGCACCTCCGCCCATGATTTCCTTGCAAAATCAAGTAGGACTCGCAACCTCGCCCGAGACTCCCCCACGATGCTTCCAGGACTTTCGCTCTCATGCGTCGCCCGCCCGCCCAGCCCGCCCGTCAGGGACCGGCTGTTCGTGTCGGTCTGCTCCGCCTGGCCGTCTCGCGAACCCAGGGTCTGGCGCCGCCCGACCCGCCGTTCGGGGTCCGGCCGTTCGCCTCCTTGGGAAGCCCACCCGCCCTCCTCCTCCTCCTCCTCCTCCTCCTCCTCCTCCTCCTCCTCCTCCTTGATGTGCCGCCCGCCCGTCAGGCGGCGCCCACCCGAACCGCCCGTCTGGGGTCTGGCCGCCCGACCCGCCCTTCCGGGGTCCAGCCGTTCGCCTGCTAGGAAGTCCGCCCGCCCCTCCTGACGTGCCGCCCGCCCCCCCCCCGCCTGTTGGGTGGCGTACGCCCGAAGTGCCCGCAGGGTCCGGGCGCCCTGCCCGCGCGCGCGCGCGGGGTGCGCCCGCCTGCCCTGTGCGTGGCGGCCCGCCTGCCCGCCCAGACCGTCACGTTTTGCCCGAACGACCCGCCTGTGTTGGCATGGGGCTCGCCTCCCCGCACTGTGCCCCGCCGCCCCTGGCCCGCTGACGCAGCAGCCGCCGCGGCCTGTGCGGCGGGGCTGGCCGCGCCACACGCTCGGGGAGCGATCTGACCCTTGAGCCGCCAACCCCGTTCCTATCCTGTTTTCCTTCGGCCGCGTCCTCTCCTCGTCCTCCTCTTGTATGGTGACACAATTCGCTCTGACGGCAGCTTCGTTTAAGCCTCTCAGTGCCAGCGCAGTCACCCTCTGCCTAGCCGCCAACACAAAAGTGTTGGCATGGGGAGGGTTACCCAGTAGCTTGCATGACAACAGGGAGTCCCCCCATAAAAAAAAGCGTTACGTTCGTAGACGAAGCGGGCTGGAGCCAAGAATTAAGGATTTGCCGTGTTGGTTGACACGCGAGCGAATCCATTCATCATATCCTGTTAGGGAAATCAAGAATACAGGCTGGACCCTTGGCGTTTCTTGGAGGTTCGTTTTGTTAGAGCCGTCGTAAATATGTACCTGTACTACTGCTAGAGCAAATGCCCCTTGCGAAGTTTATTTTTCAGTATAAGCGCCTTCTCAACTTGAGTAGGGGGGTACACTTGCTCCGTCTTAACTTTCTGGTCTAACCGGTTTGCAGTGCTTTCTCTCAGTTCCCATTGAAATGTCCCCCCATCGGCTCTGGCACCTTTTTTGTCAGCTCAAACTGCGTGTGTTGGCCCCCCTGGACTAGAACATCCACGGCTCCTGCCCGAGACATCCCCACGACTGACACTCAGGAATTGCGCTTTTGCTCAATAGTTCCTTGAAGCGTGCTCACGAATAAAATTGGTCTCCGCTGGGGTTCCGAAAAAGAAAGAGAGTTGTGGTTCAGGACTCACGCTCCCGCCTTTCAGTAATCGTGTCCTCGCGCGAGACGTCCTGACCCCGTATTGATGAATTGCGCTCTCGCGCTTGCGATGCCCTCCCTGCTTCACTTAGTGGTTGCGGTCTCGCTTGGGACTTACTGACAGCCTGCCGCTCCGGCAGCGCGCTTTCGCCTGGGACTCCCTCGCCGACCGCCTACCTCGAACTCCCGCCCGCCCGCCTGGGGCCGCCCGGGGGCCGCCCGCCCGCCGCGCCCGCCAGTGGCCGCCCTGCCGACGGGGCCGCCAGGTCCGCCCGCCTGGGCCCCGCCTGCCTCGCCGTGTCGGGCATCGTTCGAAACGAGGGCCCGCCTGGGCCCGCCAGGGTCCGCCTGGCCGACAGGGCCGCCAGGTCCGCCCGCCTGGGCCCGCCTGGGCCTCGCCTGTCTCGCCTGTCTCGCCCGAATCGCCCCAGGACCGGGTGCAGCAGAAACGGGCCCCCCATCGAAGGGGCACTTGCGCAGGCGACGGTATCCACGCTTGACGACACGCCCGCATCGCTGCAGGCACGTGCTGCGCAGTTTCGACAGCCCCCCCGCAAGACTCCACTCGGAGCCTGGACAAGTCTATTCCGTCCTGAGCGGCCGCCCCCACACTTCCCCTGCTGTGCTGCCGCCTCTCACCCTCGCCAGTCCCGGGGTGCGAACTAGCTATTTGGCATTCCCGCCTGGCTCTTCCAACTTGTAGGGGGGCAAGGTCCGCGACAGAAATGCATAGCGGCGCGCGAGCAGATGCTGGGGGAACGAAGAATGACATAAGCATGAACACTCAGAGGTCCGCGCGGACCTCCGTTTTCTATGTTTATGTCATTTTTCGTTCCCCTAGATGCGAGCGAGCCGTCTTGAGATGATCTGGCGTTCCTCCCAAGGCATCGGCAAGTCCGAGCAGCGCCCGCGCATCCTGCGTGAGCCCAGTAGCCGCCAGGACCAGACCCAGGCTCGCGCGCGCCCCGCGTCGCATCGCTGGGAGGGGCGCACGGGGTTAAGGAGGAGGATGAGGAGGAGGAGGATGATGATGAGGAGGAGGAGGAGGGGAGGAGGAGGGGAGGAGGAGGTTTGCATGGCCACAGGATTTCTTCGACCGCCATAGCAGCAGCAGCAGCAGCAGCAGCAGCAGCAGCAGCAGCAGCAGCAGCAGCAGCAGCAGCAGCAGGGGGAGGAGGGGAGAAGGGGGGGAGGGGGAGGGGAGGAGGAGGAGGAGGAGGAGGAGGAGGAGGATGAGGAGGAGGATGAGGAGGAGGAAGAGGAGGAGGAGGAGGAGGAGGAGGAGGAGGAGGAGGAAGAGGTGAGGAGGAGGAGGAGGAGGAGGAGGAGCAGGAGGAGCAGGAGGAGGAGGAGGATGAGGAGGAGGAGGAAGAGGAGGAGGAGGAGGAGGAGGAGGATGAGGAGGAATAGGAGGAGGAGGAGGAGGAAGAAGAGGAGGATGAGGATGAGGATGATGATGAGGAGGAATTATAATAGTACTAAGAATATGAATCATTCCCAATGGTATGAATAATACTAATATCAATAATAGTCTACTACTATGAATCATACGAGTACGACGAATACTAATACTAGTAACACTAAGAGGAGACATACTG